GCTTTTTGTTCTCCCTCGATGGATCCTTTTCCATTTAGAATATCCATTACTTCTTTTAGTTTCCTCTGTATTCTTTCACATTTTGTCTCCTCTTGGTATCTCTCGCTTTCCCTTTCTTCTTTCTTTTCTTTCTTGAGTTTTTAATTTGTCTCAAAACTGTCCCGTTTCCCTCGTTTCCTTTTTTTTAATCTCTTCTTGGTCGTCATCGTCGAACAGCGAGGCTGTCAGGATACTTTACTCTATGTTCTGCCAGTTTCTGGTTCCTTGTTCTTCATTTTTCTCTTCTTCCTCTATGTCCACCACATCTTTGATTTCTATTGATGATTCCTCGTCCCCTGAATTTTCTTCTTTTCCTTTGTCTTTTTTGTTGATTTCTCTTAAAATGTCCTCTCCCACCAACGTTGAATGTTTTGGAGGACATGACCTGTTCATCTTCGGCTGACTCTTATGCCAGCTAAGCATCTCTTCTTCGAATTTCTTTTGTTCTTCCGCTTCGCTTAATCTGCCGTCTTGCGGCTGTTCTACCCCATTTTCGTTTTCATTCATCTTTATTTCTTCCTTGTTCATTTGCTTATGTTCGTCATCGTCGTTTTCGTCCTTCTTTTTGTGTGTAAAGTCCATGCAGTTCCCACGAGTGAAAACTGAAAATAGAAACCAGTATAAGATTTTCTGTCATGAGAATTACTCCCCCAACTCGCATCTACATAACCTGTTAAATAATTATCATTTTTTTAAAAACTTAATCCATACTCTTTTGTAGCCTTTAAGTATTTTAATATTCGTTTTACATGCTTCCAATGCGTTTCCGAATGATAATTATTAAATTGACTGAGATAACTTACAGAATATGAAATGTCTGGTCTTTTCAAAACTGACAGATACATAAGGCCACATATTAAGTTCTGATAAGGCACTTGAGGAGATGCATTATCTTCTCTATTCAAACTTAAACTAATCTCCATTGGGGTAGCAACTTCTTTTGAATCCTCCATATTGAACCTTTTTAACAATTGTTCAATACAGGATTTTTGATCTAGAGTTACAACACCATTCTCTTTATTACGAGTTACTCTCATACCTAAACAATTCTTACTTTCTCCTAAATCTTTAATTTTGAAACATTCATTTAATTTCAATTTTAAATTATCTGATTCATCTGAATCGTTAGAAAAAATAAAAAAATCATCAACATAAACAGAGATAATGGTTTTTAGACTATTTTTCATCTTTGTGTACAGACATGGCTCATAATCAGATTTCTTATAACCTAGATTAATTAAGAAGTTATCGACTTTTTCATACCAAGACCTAACTGACTGTTTTAAACCGTATATGGCTTTCTTAAGCCTTAAAATTTTGTTATTTTCGACTTCTAAACCTTCAGGTATAGTCATGAAAACATTTTCCTTTAGATCATTATTTAGAAAGGCCGTAGCTACATCAAGATGAAAAATATCCAAATTCAAATTTGCTGACAAAGCAAATAAAAGTCTTAATGTAGAATGCCTTATGACTGGAGAAAAGGTTTCATTATAATCAACTCCAAACTTTTGAGTGTAACCCTTTGCTACCAGTCTTGCACGATATTTCACTTTACCTAAGTTGTCAACCTTTCGTTTGTATACCCACTTACACTTCACTACACAACCATCTTCGGGAACATCAACCACTTCCCATACTGCGTTATCCTGGAAAGACTGCAGTTCTTCTGCCATAGCCGCTAACCATAGATTACCATCTGGTCTTGACATGGCATCCTCGACACTAACTGGATCACAGTCACTATCCGAACACAAATAACTGACAAAATCATCAAACCTTTTTGGCTTAGGTATTCTGGTTGATTTCCTGATTTCATCTGGTAAGTTTGGCAAGTTACATAAGTAATCAGGATCGTTGTCTCCTGATTTCATCAACAGCAATTTCATCAACCGATGTCTCCTTTTCATTATGATGATTTTGTTCCTGACATGATTCATGATTATCTCCCACTGAATCTGATAATCCTGACAACTCTTCATCAACTGTGATTGAAACAACAAGCACAGTTTTCTTTGATTTTTTGTCCCATTTATACCTTTTTTCTTTAGGTATCATCATTATTACCTCAGATCCAAAGATTCTTAGATGACCAACTTCAGGTTTTTTTTTTGGTCCAAATTTCTATCGGAGTTTTAGTCACACCTGTTACAATTGAACGGTTTTTTAGATAAACAGCAGTGTTGACTGCTTCAGCCCAAAATATCTTTTCGAGGCCAGAGTCAAACAAAAGATACCTTGCTTTCTCCACTATCGATCTGTTTAATCGTTTTACAGCACCATTTTGTTGAGGAGAATAAGGATTTGGCTTTTGATGAATGATTCCATTACTTGTTAGAAAATTTTCAAAAATATTACTACAAAATTCACTACCTCCATCGGTTCTCAAAATCTTTATTTTAGTATCCTTCTGTTTTTCTATAAAAGATTTAAAATTTTGAAAATTTTGAAAAGTTTTATCTTCACCCTTTTGGAAATATACAAAAGACATCTTACTAAAATCATCTTGAAGGATAAACAAATATCTAGAACCTCCTAATGAAGTCATCTCTATCGGTCCACACAGGTCAGCATGGATAATCTCCAAGCAAGCACTAGCTCTATTACCTCTGTAACTAAATGGCGGTCTAGTCTGCTTTCCTTTACAACATACTTTGCATACATCATTGTTTGTTATATTACTGTTGCAATTTATACCGTCTACTAAACCATTCTTCATTAGATTTAAGTCTTTATAATTTATGTGACCAAATCTTCTGTGCCATGTTTCACTACTAATTGTAGTTGCCATAAAAGCTTTCTGCTTATTGGGCACTTCAAAATTTAAACGATATATATTGTCTATCAAATCAGCTGTTGCAATCAATCCATTTTTATTGTATATTTTGCAACCTGCATTGTTAAATATAACATCATTTCCATTTTTTATCAGTTGAGAAACAGATAAAAGGTTTGTTGTCAGATCAGGAACATATGATATATTATTTATGCTTACCTCAGATCTCTTATTATCAACAATTGTGGTTAACATCATATCACCAGCACATTCTACTGTTAATAGTTCACTGTTAGCCACAGATATATTGGACATACTACGATCTCGAATATTTCTCAACCAATCTTTTCTAGCTCTAAGATGCGTGCTGCATCCAGAGTCGATATAAAAATCTGTAGATTTAAATTTTATACTTAAAAACACTGCACTAAACGCATTATTATAAGCATTGGGGCATTTATTCATGAAATGACCTTTTTGTTTACAACGAAAACAGGTTATATTTCTTTTGTCTTTCTTGTTGACGTTCTTGACATGATTAGTGTTAACTTTACTCGACTTTGTAGCAAAAGCTTTCTGCTTTCCACTGCTAGCGCCGTCTATCTGCATATCAAGCAATTTTAATTTAATTTCATGGGCATATACCTTTCTGGAAATCCCGCCAAAAGTAATGACCCCACCCACGTGTAATCAATCTTGAAGCCGGTCCTATTCAATTTCTGAGCCGTTTCGATCACTTCATTAACGTATGATTCCATGGAATTGCAGTTTTCCAACCGTAAAGATATCAGCGTTCGAAACAATCCTATTTTCCTCGAAAAACCTGAATCTTCGAATAATTTTTTTAGCGTATCCCATACATCTTTCGCCGTGCAAGCATCTTTTACATGCAAATATAGGAATGGATCTAATGTCAATATTAACTTAGCTTTAGCTCTGGCAACAAGTGTTGTGTCTTCTTCAGTTCACTGAGTACACTTGGACAATTCTTCTAGAACGAAGACATACTTAACCGCAAACGACCAGTCCTGGTAATTTGTCCCTACCGGTTAAACGCGGTACACTTGTAAGATAGTTTACAGCCATTTTCGATACTGTTAATCCACTAACTTTTTACCGAATGAACACGTACTACACTATAACTAGATAAAGTACTACACTATTTGAACTAATCGGAAATCTTCCACTTAATCGTCTGGGCACATAATCTTTTGAGAAATTATAAAGTTCTGGAACAAAAATGGAGATTTGATGAACAAAATGAAACACGTGTTTACTCTTTGACTGTAATTTTGCTACTACGCTAAAAAAGGAAAGTGATACATTATTCAACTAGTAAAGTAGCCAATAGATGACACTGCTAGAAAATATTTAAATTTATTTATCTATATCCAACAATTTTAAGTAAGTAATGGATTCGACCGTTACTAGAGGGAAATTCATTTTATCTAACAAAAAAACACTAAAAACTTTTGTTTTTAAAACTTCCCCAAAATTTATTTTAAATTATTTAAATTTCAATAAAATCTTACAAGAAAATAGCTTCAGAACAATATTTTCTCTATTTCTTCCTTTTACCTAAAGTTACATAACTGCTTTCGCGTAAGTCTTCACTTAGTTTTCTATTGTTTTAAATAATATTATTCATTGTGAATAATAATAAGAAACACGTGACAAAACTTTTATATCTTAACAATATTATATGTATTGGTAATGCACGTAAAATGCTTATTTTAATGTTCTTTTAGGGATTTTTATAAATGTAGTATGCCGTTTTAGTTTTAAGGAGCAGGTAAAACATTAGTCCCGAGACAATCCTTAAGGTCCACACTGGGTACCAGTTAGCTCGGAGACCATCGGCGTTACAATACTCGTATACAGCGACATAGAAAACCCCCCGAGTAATGACTATCGACTGATTTTGAATGAAATTAACATACTTAAGAAGACAAGGTTTGCCTAAACACTATGCACCAAAGACCATCGACATTATCATATTCATGTTTAGCAATCTTTAAAACCCCAGAATAACAAAATTAAAGTCATTCTTGTCGATATTTTTTTAGTTAAAAATTTTTCTTTTTCTATACACTTTAGAAATTCCTGTAAATACAGAATTTGGAATTATAGTAATTTGATAATCTATAGTATATAATAACTAGTCATAATTTATACTTCTTTTTAGGAAAACAATGACATTGTGAAGAGGGCGAAAAATATGTCAGCCATGGCCTTTTCTATGTACCAGTTCACAAAGGGTGAAGGAGAATTAAAAACCACCCAGGATTTGTTTACGCAAGCTGAATATTTCGCAGAAGAGGCCAACAGGCTGTATAAAGTAATAAGACAGTTTAGCTATCAGGTAAGCAAATAATAAAAAAATATTTGTATGTTATTAGATTGGGAATGCAAATGCATAAAAACAATTTATATTTAGTTAATAAAATGGTTGTTACTAATAAATATTAGATAAATGATTTGTTAAAGTTTACCAATATCAGTGAGAATTTGAACTATGTTAAACACTAACGTATCAGTAGCTTTAATCAATCTTCAAGTAAGTATCTTGGCGTATGGATCATTTAAAACAAAGTTGCTATAGTTCTTAAAGGCCCGTTTTCACGGTACACTTTGGATGATCATCCCGGGTGAATCATCCAAAGTGAAAAATAAATGAATCGTATAAACTATTATTCATCGACAGTGATCATCCAAAATGAATATTGAACGAAGTTGAACCGAGTTCTACTTTTGTTCACTTTAGGGGATGCATCGCGGATGAATCATCCAAAGTGAACCATGTAAACATGCATTTGTTGCTGTAATTCATCGGTAGTGACTAGTGAACGGCGGCAACAGGTCCACGTGGTTGTGTATTGTCGCGTTTGAAGTGCGTAGTTGTTGTGTTTGTACGCTTGCTATCATGGTTTTTAAGTGGAAAGACGACCATACTCCTCTAATTTTGAGTTTAATGAAAGACCGACAGTGTCTTTGAAACACTAAAGCAGAGACATATAAAAATAAAACCCATAGAGAAAAAGCGTTAAAAGAAATCGTTGAGGAGCTGAATCTTCAGGGAGTGATGGTGTAAGATATTAAGTTAAAAATAAAAACAATTCGTACCCGATATTCATCTGAACTGGCTAAAGTAAATCAATCCGTAAAAAGTGGTACAGGGCCAGATGACGTTTATGTCCCCAAACTTTTTTGGTACAAACAAGCCGATTCATTCTTACGTGCAGTTTGTGTACCGAGGAGCAGCTCAGCAAGTACAGTAAGTATAGCATTTTTTTATTTTCATACTACTAGCAATTATAAGTACATATATGTATTAGGTGGGTCGTAGGGTATTGTAGTAAGTTGAAAATAAAAACCATATCGATTTAAAATAGCTGAAATATAGTTGATCGTTTTAGACGTAAAATGTCCCACTTCATCTTGGTTGCTTACCTTACACGTATAAACAACAAAACCACAGAAAAATTAGTTACCAATTTTTATTAAGTAAATGAACAATTATACAAGAATAAGCCATTTAAATCATTTTCCACTGCCACGGTACAATTTCAGTTGAACAGAACAGATCTGCATAATCATCACGTACAGCGGCAGCAACTTTCTTGTGGTTGTTACTTGTAGCAAGTGTTATGTCTCTGAGGCCGTCGTGTGTAGTTTGTCGCCATATTCCAGGTACAATTCTGCCTTCCTCCCATAATTCAACATCAATCAATCCCTCAGTTACGTATGGTGCTTTGCAAGTAGAGGTTTGTCTGAGCCAATTATGAAGAACACAAGTAGCTTTCACCAGTAATTCAGTTGTTTCTACTTTGAGAGGAATAGGCTTTTCGAATACTCGAAAACGAGACACAAGTATGCCAAATGCATTTTCTGATAGGCGACGAGCTCGAGATAGCCGATAATTAAATACCCTTTCCTTCCTAGTTAATGATTTCTTGCTATAAGGTTTCAAAAGATAGGTTCTAAGAGGAAAAGCGTCGTCCCCAAGAAAAACACCATTTTCAGGTATATTTAACAAATTGTTCTCCAGAGCTTCGTTAAATGTACATTTGGAAAACACTAATGCGTCATTTGCTCTGCCATTTGTACCGACGTCAATATATAGGAAGTTATAATTAGCATCCACAATTGCAAAAAGAATAGTGCTGAACGTTTGTTTATAATTGAAAAAATACGATCCCGACTTCGCAGGACAGCGAATAGCAATATGTTTCCCGTCCATAGCGCCACAGCAATTAGGGAAGTTCCAAAGGGTATAATATTCCTTCATTACTTTTGTCCATTCATTAGTAGTGGTAGGCACCTGTAAAAGACAAAACTGTATACGTATGTGTATTATAAGTGGGTAAAAATTCGAGCAACTTCGTTTTGTATGATAATATGCGGTATCTGTTTCAGGTTCCGAAATGTAAAAGGAGCCCAACGCCACAGAATCCAGATACTGAAGATGTCAATTATGAAGGAAATAATACTGATACCGAGGTTATCATACCTGCGGCAGCAAATGATGTCATACCGACAGATGATGGAGTACTACCTAAAGAAAGCGAACTGGCACAGCATAACAAACGAATCAGAAAAGAGAGTCCCCAAGCAAATTTGAACACCCCATTTTCAAAAAAGCATCGTTTTTCTGGAATTTCAGCTATTGAAAAAGCAATAGATAAATTAAGTGCAATTGCTGCACAGAATGCAAGCACAGATAACGAATTTGATCATTTTTGTCGAAGCCTGTCAGTTCAGCTTAAAACCATGCCTCTGGACCGCGCCCTGATATGTCAAGAAAAGCTGCAAAAGGTTATGATGGAAGAGCGCATGTATCTCTTCAACTTAGAACAGACTCGCTCAAAGGAATCTACTCCATCACTGTATACAGTATATTCGACTAACAGTGAGACGTCAGTTTCTACACCGACTACTACAATGGAAAGATATGAAGAGAGTGCTCCTTATGATATATTATCCGAAGCATTCTCGACTATTCACAATTACCAATGAATTTATGTTTGATTTTAATTTTTGAATAAAATGCCTTTTGGATAAAGTTTTAATACGTTTTTTTTTTAAATATGTAAGAAAGAATCTAATTAGGTACTAACCTTGATACAGTATTCAAGTATTTCGTAAATAGCAGCTAATACTTCTGGCATAAAATGGGAAATGGAGCATTTAGGTACACGATACAAAGCTTCGAGTGTTGAAAAGCAATCTCCTGCTGCAAGATATCTTAGTACAATTTGCAATTTCAGTCTTGGATGAAGAGATTCTCTCATGGTTGTGCTTTGCTTTTGAATTAACGGTGTGACTTTGGTAAGTAGCTCTTCAAATTGCACTTCAGACATTCTTAGATGGTTTTGTAACATGGCTTGATCTTCTGTAGACCATTCCTTTAACAAACACGTTGACGCCCCCATTTTGTAGCGTCGAAGTATCCACGGCCTTACCCACCAACGTCGTTTTTTTCTAATCTTCTGTTTTTCAAGTACATTTTCAAGTTCATTTAAAAGATATTCACTTATTATACCAATTCCAGCACGTACAACTTCAGTCGGCGCCATTTGTAAGTGAACAGACTAGTTCAGTCTTGGTGATACATGTAAACGATAATTACTTTCATCGTCGTAGTCACTTTGGATGATTCATCCGGGATGATCATCCAAAGTGTATCGTGAAAACGGGCCTTAATATCAATAATCTGACTTAAAAAAATCTTTTTTTTTTTAAATGTATTCACAAAAACAGATACCAAATTATATCCAAATCGGTTTATACAAAACAACACATTTTTTTTATATCGTTATTTTGAAACAACTATTCTGAATTAATATCATTATAAATGCGTTCTAATTGGAGTAATTTTCCATTATTTTTTGAATTTTTAACAGTAATATTAATGGAAAAAATATCTAGACACATTTTTTACTGTTCAATAAAAAAAAATTCACATTTAGAATAGCAAATTTTGTTAAATATTAGTCTCAACATTGAAATAAACAAAGAAAAACTTCCTTGTAAAATGGCACTATTATATAGTTGCGAGTAGCTACCATTCAGTAATATTTTTAATAGGGTTTTTACAAAAGCTTTAAAATTGGGAGTAAAACATACGAAAGCTTATTTTAATTTAAAATTTTATTACCCATAATGTCCACATAAGACAACAAAGGATTAAACAGATTACATATTTTGCAATGAAAGATATGTAGTGTTTAACACACTAGTCATAAACATCGCAAACATAGGTAGGTACGTAATGATAGAGTTAACAGCACAAATAAAAATTCACATCCCAGACCAACAGCAGAGAACTCAATACGTATTAAGCAGAAATTGAAAAAAGTAGACGAATAGTCAAACCTACAATTTCTAAACATAAACCTAATTGACAACATAGTACCAATTGTATAGAAATTATTCCAGAACAAGAAAGATCAAGTTTCAAAACTAACCCAATTCAGAACGAGGCTTAATAATAAAGAGACAATAGCTTATACAAAGCTTAACACATAATAAAATATAATTAACCAAAATCAACAGAACAGTAAAAAAAGCATAGGAAAGCTAACAGGAACCTAACCTAACCTACTAACAGAAAGTATGCAAGACGGAAAAATATATAAACAAGTGAATCCAACAATAAAACTAATTAGAACAAGGAAGTAAAACAAAACACAACTATAAAGATAGAAAATTATTATCAAACGCTAAGTAGTCACAAACAAAATCCATCTGGAAAAGACGGAGATAAAATATATGAAATTTAAAGATATACCTGAAATAACAAAGGTCATAAGAAGGTAATAAGACTGGTCAATTGCTATGTTAACTACGAGTACCATTGTGAAAGAGTGAATAGTGATAAAAATAAAAAGTTTGGAGGACAAAAAAATATTAGAAATGTTTTTTAATTCATAAATGACCCAACCTTTTTAAGCATTTATCGTGAAGTGGAATTTTACATCTATCGTATGCTTTTGTAGTTTTATTTGAACATACAAGACATCTTCTTTGAGCATCAGTAATAATTAGATGGTGTGTTGATGTGGATGGATCAGAAATTATTGCAATATTTTGAGGTCCAGTTGAACGGGCTGGTTTTCCATAATTAGACAATAATGTACGAGCTATATGTCTTCTAAATTTTAAGTTGTCATTTTTATATCCAAATTGTCGTGCTAGTGTCCAAGCATTAGTTACACAAACATCCAGCATCCATATCCATATTGGAAAGTATCATTTTTTCCACGTATTTTTATTCTATAGTTCGAAATGGTATTGTCCATCAAGTCGACTCCTCCCATAAATTTGTTGTAATGCGCAATTACAAATGGTTGATTTATTTGAATTTTTTGTTTTTCTTTTGCTGACTATCGTCCTGCTTTTTGGATTGGCTTAGTTCTATGCTTATTAGATATTATGGTGACAACATTATTATCTTTCCATTTTACAGCCGCAATTTTAGTGCTGTCGTCAAAACAGCTACAGTAATATCCTCTTGGTTGATTTGTCTCTTTTCTAAACTTCTTTTATCTTCTTAAGGACACTTTTTTGTTCTATTTTCGCGTACAGTTCCAGTGGCACTAAACCCCATTTCTGCAATTGATGATATCAAAGATATGCTTGTTAAAAATTTATCAAAATAGAAGGAAAATTTTATGTCTTTGTATGTGTTTCGCAAAATCTCTGCAAAGGTCAACACCACACTTTCTCCTTATCCACAATTTTTATCAGCACTAGTTGTTGATTTTCAGCCGTAATGTATGTCAAAGTTTAGGCAATATCCATGTAATAAAGCCATTTTTCTTATGTACCATGTCCTTTCAGGACGTTGGTTACAATCATAGCTATCTTAATTTTATTCACTGCCACCCTAAATAGCATACTTGTATCAACACCATACCAATCTCGCAAGTTCTTCAACCATGAGGTTCTTCTTCGTCCTGGACTGTGTTTGCCTGCTACTTTTTCTTGCATGATATTTTGTAGCAACCTATATTTGGGACCTCTCATTACATATCCGAAATATTCCAGCTTTCTCTGCTTGATACTTTTTATGATCTCAGTAATCTTGCTGAGACGTTCTAGTATTGTGGAGTTTCGAATCCTCTCCACCCAGGAAACTTTTAAAATTTCTCTATAGCACCACATTTCGAAAGCCTCAAGGCGATTTACATCGATTTTATTTACTGTTCTTTCCCTGATTTCATGGATGATGAAATCAGGGAAAGAATAAACAAGGGTAGAGCAGCGAACCGTGCCTTCAACTCTCTTCTCTGGCAAAAAACAATTCGGCGAGAAACCAAAAAACACATTTACGGTAGTATAGTCCAAAGTATTACACTTTACGGTTCGGAAGTATGGGACGTCACCAAAGCTAATAAAAACAAACTTATGACGACAGAAATGGATTATCTGAGACGAAGCTGCGGTAGATCGAAACTGGAGAGAGTTAGAAATGAACAAATCAGAAACGAAATTTAAATTGGATCGAAATATCAATGATGACATAGAAAGAAAACAATTAATCTGGTTCGGATATGTTAAAAGAATGCCAGAGTATAGATGACCTAGAAGAGTACTGGAATGGATCCCTCCTGAAAGAAGAAAGAGAGGACGGCCACGGAGAAGTTGGCGCAACGATATTGATGCAGCAATGGCGGCAAGAGACTTAGAAGAGGCAACTGCATATGACAGAAAAAGATGGAAATTGGGGGCGGAGAAGCGGCGAAAGCCGTAATCATTCCGTTATTTTATATATATATATATATATATATATATATATATATATATATATATATATATATATATATATATATATATATATATATTATTCACAGTTCAGGACTCGACACCATAAAGTATGACCGGGAATACGTAGCAGCGAAGTAGGCGGATCCTCAATGCCAATTTTAGGTTTCTGTTACATAACACGTTAAACATCCTTCTAAAAGCAGCTCTAGCCTGCTCTATCCTAGCAATAATTTCGCCGTGACTTTCTGCGTTACAATTTAATTGCTGTCTAAGATAAACGATTTTATCAACTTGCTCAAGATTGGTATTATTTACATATATAGACGGTTTTATATGCTGTTGTTTACTTATTACGAGTATTTTGGTTTTCCGTATGTTAAGATCCAGACCTGCCTCCCTACAACTCTCAACGACACTATCAAGAAGTGTTTGCATATCTTCTTGGCTAGAAGCTAGAAGTACTGTATCGTCCGCATATCGCAAATTATTGATGACTTCGCCGTTCACAAGTATTCCTTCTTGTTTTTCAGAAAGTGCTTTTCTGAAAATTCTTTCGGAGTAAACGTTAAAAAGCAGGGGTGACAAGAGTCATCCCTGCCATACTCCTCTTTTATTATTGAGAGCCTGTGATTCCACACCATCTACTAAAACTGATGTTGTTTGATTTCAATATAAATTTGCAATTAATCGAACATCTCTGTCGTCCAAGCCAATGTCTTTTAGAGCTTCGATCAATATAGAGTGCTTAACATGATCAAATGCCTTTTGGAAGTCAATAAAACAACAGCATATGTCTACAAATATATCACGACATCTTTGAGCAAGTACGTTCATTCCAAACAGTGCCTTTCTCGTTCCAAAACCGTTACGGAAAATTACCTGAGTGTTATCCAGGTATTCCTCGCATTTATTGTAGATACGACCATGTATTACCTTCAGAAAAATTTTCAATAAGTGATTTAACAAACTGATGGTTTTATAATCAGCATAGGTTTTTGCTGTTTTCTTCTTAGGTAGAGCTATAAACAGTGAATTAGACCAACCATTAAGTAGTTGTCCATTAAGTATAAATGGTATTGAAAAACGAAGTTATAGCCTCTAAAACAATGCTGTTTATAAGCTTATATATTTCAGTTGGAAGCCATTACCTATGCTTTATTTCCAAATCTTATTGGTTTGCCACGAATAAATTGTTTGCACCCATTACGACCAAAATAAGGAATCATAGATTCGTCGATAGAAATTTTATCTTCAATGGTTGCAAACCTTAAAAACTTTCTATTTAATTTATCGATAAAAGGTCTAATCTTGGCCCATTTATCATATTCGCCAAGGTGGTTGTTGTCTGCAGCATGAAAAAATCTAAATATCTCTTCAAATCTATTGCGTCTCATAGACTTCGTTACTTAAATATTATATGTATCATCGGAGTTTTTCCAATACATCCTTAGCCTTGGTAAGGGCGGGTCGCCAATTAAAATTCCCAACAATGCATAAAATTCGTCAATTTTAATTGAAATATTTTGATTTTTTGAGGCAGCATAATTTGTTGTTTCTTTAATTAAATACTATATTATTTCTCTGCTCATGAACAATTCAACAAGTTTAACTGGGTTACTTTCAGAAGTACCTAAGTGGTAAAACTGGTAATCTCGGTAGATTTTAATCGGCATGTAATGTTGGCAAATTTATCATGTTTGATCATTTGCATGGCATTTTCTTTATTTTTTAGTTTAATGTTTTACATTAAAATCAGAAGCTTCTTGAATAACTTCATTGTCTATATTTTTTCATCATTCTGAAATTGTACTTATGTATGGGCATTTAATTGACCTCTATTTAGTCTATCCGGATCATTACATTTCTTGTCTCCAGAATCCGAATGAGTTAACCAGCCATTATTATCTTGAGGCAAAATATATATCATCTGGTATATCCTGACCATTTTCAATTTTTTCTATTTCCTCCAGAATTTTTGCAGTAGATAATGGTTTCTTACTAAAACAAAATTTTCCCATTTTGATATGTCATATATCCAACGGGTCGTTAACGAGCCATCAAAATATAATATTATATTTATGACACATAAATAATTATTTTCATACTATTAGTATTATAATCCTGGAAAGGGTGGAACACCTCAGATATCTGGGTAGCTAAATTGACTGCAGGGTTGAAAGTGACGAGGAAATTTCGAGCACAATAGAACTCGCACGGAAAAACTTTATTAACTGGCGTTCTGTATTATACAGTAGAAGTCTGTCGTTGACCACACGTCTAAGAGTATTGAAGTGCTTCGTCTCGTCCACTTTGTTCTATGGATGTGAAACCTGGACAACAAAAATAAAAAATCTTAACAAATTAGAAGCTTTTGAGTTACCGTCGTGTTACCGTCGAATGCTCAGAATCCCGTAGGCAGCACACATATCTAACGGACTTGTGCTAGAGACCGTGCGCAAAGAGTGAGGATTGATTAACATCATTAAAATTAGAAAGGCCCAATACTTCGGCCATATAATGCGAGGACCTAAATATCGCTTACTCCGGTTAATCATTCAGGGCAAAATCGAAGGAAAACGTTGGGTCGGAAGAAACAACTGTCCTGGCTGCGTGACATTAGACAATGGACAGGTCGAACGGTCGAGAAACTGTTTCATATAGCTGCCGACCGAGAATCATTTCATCAGCTTGTCAGGCTTGTCAATATGACGATAGCCAACAAGCACGGCACACAAAGAAGAAGAATATTATAATGTGTTATTTCAACTTGTGTTTAACTATATAAAATTTAATAGAATTTAATTAATAAAATGCCATGCTGCGAACGTTATTCAGTGTCTATTTTGATGTAATGGTCACTGATAAATTCGACAGATTTGCTTGGAACATATTTTTTTTGTCTTAGTTGAGTCGTTAACGACCCGTTGGACATAAAAATTCATACTTACGGAGTTCAGTGGAATTAGGGTTTCATATACAAACTGTGACTTATTTTTTATTTGTTTTTTAAAAATACTTGCGGATAGTTATCACATAAAGAGTTAATAAATTCTAAATTTAATTATAAAATTATTAACCATGTGTGGAGGTTCGACGTAAACATGCAATAAAAATAATATTTCTTTGTCCTTGACAAACTTCGTAGCTGCAATTCTTGGCAGAAATACCGGCATGACTTTATTTAAATAATGGCATGCGGCCAAACTGTACACCATAAGAATTGTGACTTTGGTTTCCTCTGTTTTTGTACCAAACAAAGATAAAGAAAATTCCAGTATTCTGTTTCTACCGGATTCTAATTCCTTGAAATATGTTTGAATGACTGCCAAGTTAAATCCATAACGCATAAATGCAAAATGACATATTTAATTTATTGAGTTACATAAAATGGTTTTATGAATGTTTTGTAAAGAAGTCTTATAGAAAATCTTATTTATAGAGTATCTCCAAATAATATACAGTAATAAAAAAACTATAATGTAAGTATTTTTCAGTATGTGTGAGATCATTACCAATGTTCACTTTGAACAGTTTATATTTTTTCTTAACATGTAACAGATCTTAAAAATTTATAATAATTTATTTACATGAAGTAGAAAGAGCCCGTATGAATGGAAAAATTTTAATAATATAGAATACTTAAAGATTTCATTCACTACACCCTCAAAGAATTGAGAGAATTATTCTTTTTGTAAATTCTTTTGTTTTATTTTCCAGTGTCCATTTGTACACTTCATTCTCTAGCGAGTTTTAATTGTCTAAAAATACTCACCTCAATAAATTGGAAGGATTTGGGTGAAATTAGCAAGCAAATATTAAAGTAGCATTTTTTCTAGAGTATTAACACTTCGATTTTCAAATTTTGTTTTATGCCTAGTGATGCTTTAAAAAGTCATGGACTATAACCATTATGATCATTATACAGTGGTGTATACAAACTTAAATGTAATGACTATAAAAAAGCTTACATTTGCCAAACTGGTAGTACTTTTAACAAAGGAATAGCAGAGCACAAAAGGGCGTTTAATAATAGAAAAACTGATTCCATGCACACCCTTCACCTTTTAGACCATAATCATTTTTAATGGCCAATTCAAATTCTTTACATTCAAAATAAAAGCCTTAAGCTCTCTTTATTAGAATATATGGAAATTAACAAATTAAAAAATATAGACATAATTCTGAATTATTAACTTGAGTAAATCAGTTCTCCTCTCCCCAATTTATTTAGTTAACGACTATAAAGTGTAAACGCATGCTAAAAATAGATCACTGAGAAACGCACTCTGTCGAAACAGCTGTGGTAATAATAAATTATAATAATTTTTTTAAATGTTTTGGAAAAAAAAGTTCTGTGTTTTAGTATTGGATAAAATGGATTTTCATCAATTAACGGTCGAATCCATCGCATCAGTTATTTTATAATTTTTTAGTCGTGTTATTCTCTTAAACCCTCAATACTAAAACCTGGCCATGCCCGTATATTAAACATATTACGCACTAGAATAGTAAAATGTGCAGTGCATTAGTTTTTTGTATATTTCGTTGTACTTGATGACTACAGCTCTCATATGTGATTTTTTTCTCATTATATTATTGGAATTATTTCACAAAATATTGGTTATAACTCGGACAACTAAGAAATTAATAATTGTAAAATTTCCTGTCCATCATCCAGTAGGTGTGTCTTCTTAATGTACTTTCGAATTGTTTTCGTTTTATAAATATAAGCGGTGTCCAAGTTATTATTCTTATAAGATATAAACCTAAGTACTTAACTTTATTTTTTGAATAATCGTTTGAACAATTTAAACATATTTCTTTTTACTGTAAAGTTAAATTAAATTAATTGGATCTTATTAACAAGAACTTTCGATTTCCTTAATCACGTTTGAATATTTTTGATGCAAAATTGTAAATTTCTTAATGCAGTCACTGGTTTAAGATGGAGGACAACTACTGCAACGTCGTCTGCAAAGGTCTCTGTAATTGTGGTTTTTGAGGTTGGTTGATCTTCATTGCCAAACTGATACAGAATTGCTCTGAACACGCTGCCTTGCGGTACTTCTGATTTGGTTAGATATATGTCTGAACCTTGTGTTTTATATTTTACTGAGAAGTGTCTATCACATAAGTAGAATTTCATCAGTTCTTCGAACTGATCGAAGAGTATCGTTTTTAACGTTTTTAGTTTAAACCTGTAGATCATTATGCCAGACTTTATCGAAGGCCAGACATGTCAAGAAATACTGCTGAATAACATCGCTTACTCTCCTGAAAAGTGCAGACATATTTGAATAATTCATCGACTTGCTATAAACTAAAGTTTTTCTTAACTAAAAAGAAATCAAAAATAAAGCTCCGGGGATGGACGAAATTTTAATTCTGGGAAGAATTCATTATCTAATAATATTAATATGGACCAAAGAAGCAAACGCTGGAGAAATTGACAGTTGTGCTGATACAAGCAATACATGAGAAAGACAGTAAAAGGGAATGTAAGATTTATATAATCGATAGTTAGAGTACTCCAAGAATATAGTAATGATTATCAGAATGGATTTAGACCAAAATAGAGCTACTACAGACAGTATATTCATACTAACAAGAATTCAGCACATGAACACACATATACAAGCTTATTGATACGATATATAACCATATAATATGTACGTAGACTTTTAACAACCTTTTGATAGTGTGAAAAGAAACAGAATGCTGAAAGATATTCGTAAACTAGGTATACCTTACAAATATCAGCCTTATAATGACGTTTCATAAAGCCGGA